TTACACAGAGATCTTTTATACTATCCGGGAGGTCATTATTTCGAGCAAGAGAAGTACTTTACCAGAGAGCTTTTCAGGTTCTTTGGTATGATAATGAAAATAGTTCTGTTAAGAGATTTTGACCCGAGAGTCCCAGAAGCAATAATGCATTGCTCTAGAGTTCTGGAACAATCCCCTGAGACTTAGCCTAGTGCTGGGGCTGGAGAGATGGCTCCGTGAGTAAGAGTGTTTGTTGTACAAACATGATGGCACGAATTCCCGTTCTAGCACTCCGTGAAGTCAACGCACATGGCACTGGGCACCTATAACCCCAGGAGCTTGCTGGCCCCATCCTTGCTCCAGGTTCAGTGAGAGACCCCGACTTAAGGGAATCAAGGCAGAGGGTGAGAGAGCAGGACGCCTGATGTCCCTCCTCCTCTGACCTCTACACACATTCACACACACATGCACACATGAACATGCATACACACTCACACACACACACACACACACACACACACACACACACACACTTCTTTGCTGCTAATTGTTGCTTCTGACTGGTGGTGAAGGGGTCTCATCCTGAGAGGTCTTACACATGGGTTACGAGTCCATGACTGGAGACATCAAGGAAATTGGTTCCGGCTGGTGGGGGAGGATGAGAAGGAAAGCTGGAGGCAGAAACTGGGTGAGGTACAAGGTGCAGCCCACAGCGATGCCTCCCAGAGACCAGCCAGCCTTAAGTGGGTGGGAAAAACCTTTCCAGTTCCTCGCCACCCAGCCAGGAGACTTGGGACCTCATGTGAAGACAGCAAGTCTTTATTTGTGCCCGTCACATCTCAGCAGTTGACTGATGGCAAGAGAGGCAGAGTCCTTGATCTCTTAACTCTTGCTTTACTAAACAGTCTGTCCCTGTGTGCGAGGGGAGGGGACAGGAAACGCTAGCACCCTGTGCTTGGCAGTGGGCCAAGATGCTCACTGAAGGAAGGTTAGTCAGACACAGAGACAGCTCCAGCCACACTTGGCCACCTTCAGAATTTTGCTCTTGCCTTGCTTGCTCTTTGACCTAAATTTCTCATGAGAAACAAAAATGTTATAAAGAAAAAAGTATGTTTTTTTCTGAGCCTATGAGTGCTTTGGTGGAAGCCAGCATACTGACTGTATAGGACTCTTACCGTCCTATCTAGCCTTGAAGGTTCTCTAACCTAGCTCTCCTGGGATGCTGGAGGGTTGGAATTGAGGGAAAGTAAGCAGGCAGGGTTTCCCTCAAATTGAATTGCATTTTCGTTTCAAAAGTAACCAGTGGGTTTTCACCCCAGGGCATTCCTCCCTCCTGGTGATGATGGGGCATTTATGTCTTTTGTACATTTTATAATTCTCATAGTTACCAGTGTGTTTGTAGACATGCTTCCCTTGTATTTTATGACTGCGTGTGAATGTGATTGTTCACAGCACACCAGGAATTTCAGACACAGGGAAGGCTTTAGTCAGGTTGTGAGTTCAAAGCCAACCTGGGCTACTTCCCTAGAGAGGCTCTTTCTCAGAGAAACAAAATATCTGTAGACCCTAATGTATGGCATTTTCTTTAGATTATCAAAGACTTTAAAACACTTTAAAAAATGGTCTGTATTCATTATGCACAGTGCTGAACATCATGAAGAAAACTTATTTCTGAATGAGCTGGACCTTGGGTACATCTCCTGTCTTCTTTACCTTTGCCTTCCCATTCTGTTTTCCCATTGGCCACCTTCCTGCTCAGTCTACTCACTGCTTCCAACTGTCTGAATGTGTTTGTATGTATCTCTGTAAAATCGGTCTTCACACAGGAGCGCAGGTGTGTGCGGTTAGATAGGTTCCTGGGGCTCTGATTTGGGATAGCTGTGCCCTGCTCAGATGTACTTTGGTGAATTCTCTACAAATATATGTGGAATTTTAATTGCTAGCTTGAAGGCATGTCCGACCTTTGACATCACCACACATCAGTGTCATCTGGAGAGTTCACAGTTGAGAACAAGTTGCTGAAAAAATAATCACCCCTCCCAAAAAAAATCTCGTAATGTTTAAAGTGAAGTCTAGGATCTGTGTTTGGCATCAGTTGAAGACATCCTTGGCCACATGAAGACTAGACACACTTGCATGGAAAACTTGTAAGCTGTAAAATGATTACACTGTACTTTTTACCAGCTTGTCAATCATGTGTGCTCCAGTAGGAATTGGGTCCTAGTGTCCCTCAGGAGACATGTCCCGTGAAGTTTTGGTCTGGAGGGTTATATCAGGGTTGGGAATAGTGGTCTGCTTAATCCTAAGATAATGCCAGCAGACAATTAGTCACCATAGAAAAACTTTGAGACCAGGTTTTTAGATTGATTTTTATTGTTTTGTTTGTTGTTTGTTTTTCAAGACAGGGTTTCTCTGTAGCTTTGGAGCCTGTCCTGGAACTAGCTCTTGTAAGGCTGGCCTTCAACTCATAGAGATCCGCCTACCTCTGCCTCCCAAGTGCTGGGATTAAAGGGTGCACCACCATAACCCGGGAATTTTTATTGTTTTTGATTATGTGTATGTGCTTCCTGTGCCTGCAGTACCTTTAGTGGCCAGAAGGGAGGCATCAGATCCCTAGGAGTTGGCATTACAGGTGGTTGTGAGTCATCCAGCATGGATGCTTGGAACTGAAGGTAGGTCCTCTTCAAGAGCAATATGTGCTATCAACCCTTGAACCATCTCTCGCCCCAGAAGCATTGCTTTAATTAACTCCCTGGCCAGAAAGCATTTCTGTCAGCTTTCACTTGCTTGAGCAACTGTGAATTATCCGGACAGCTCCATGCATGGTATATGACTTGCTATATGACTGTGAGCTTTCTTCTAAGACTGGGTGGGAGATGAGTGATTCTATTTGCTCTATTCTGGGGATGAACATTTTGGCATGGAGAAACAAAGGCTCGCCCTTGTGCCCACTTTAGCTAGGAAAACTATAATTTAAGTTTGTGCTGTCAAGAAAGAAACCAAAGAAGAAAACCACTATTATTGTTTGATAAGGTTACAATATCACATTAACTAGAAGCAACCTTGTACAACTGCACCAATGCAATTGTAAAAATAAGATGAAATTGTCTTGACAGAAGCAGAAGTAATAGAGACCCGAGGGGCGGAGGCAGTCTGCAGTAGTGGGCGGAGACTTGGTAGAACGAGTACAGTGGGGAAGTGGTGGGAGACACTAGTCGGCCTTAGGCTATTTCTTCTGATAAAGAAAAATCTAGGCCACTTTTAGTTGTTGTAGCAAATACCAGAGGCTAGACATTTCATTAAGATACAAACTGGTTTATTTAACTCATGCTTTTTAACGAATTGGGTAGTTCCATCCACTGGTTCACCCCAGCAAAGCCTTCATTGAAAATGGGGGGAACACAATGGGAAGAGCCCTTTCTAATAAGGTAGGGCAGGAAGACAGGCAGTGCCCAAACTTGCCCCTTAAAGCCAACTAGTTCTTGGCAGGAACTTACCAGGGCCCCTGCATTAAGCCTTTCCAATGATGAAGGTTCCCCATCCCACCCCTATGACCTAGTTGCCTTCTATGGTATCCCATCTCTTAAAGATCCTTCACCTTCTTTTTACTGCCATACTGGAGACCAGCCTCTTGATACTTGAAACTTTGTGGAGCATCCTCAAACTGTATCCAAGCCAAACAAGTGTATAATACTGCTTTTTAAAAGCAAAGTTAGTACATGCTGTCTTTTAAAGTCCTGTACCACACACAGCAGCAGGAAAAATGCTGCCAATAATGTCTGAAGGAACATTTTAGGACACTGTTGGAGTTTTCCTCCCTTTAACAGTGGGACTAACATAAGCACTTGCACCCACGCTTCAGTAACTTATTATGTGACCATGAAGACCATCTTTTCTCTTCCTAATAGACGGCAACAGGGTGAGGGCTAAGGTTAACTTGGGAGCCCCACTTGCCCAAGGACAGATGCCTGCTGGGCTGTGGTCTTGTGAGATAACAAGTCACGTGTTTTCAATTCAGTAAATAAGGCTGGCTGCCCCAACTGCGTGCAGGACATGCTGATAACATAGAAGCAGAAGACACAAAATACATCAGCAGGAAATAGGTTGGGATATATGCTTACCCCTGATTGGATTAAGGCAGGAAGTCCCATAGCCTTGTGGGAGTTTACTTTTACAAGCATCCTACTGACCTAAAACCGGGGCCATTTCTCAGGGAATCCCAGGTATGGACCTGGCCAGTGTTTATCTTCCTGGTCAGTACTGAAGAAAGCTCGCTGTAATCGGATAATCGAGGTGATTCTCAGGTTTAACTGTAGCAATTGCCAACTTAAAGGGTTTCTATTCACAACAACTTAAATCTTTGTGTGTGTTTTCATGTGTGTAAGTATGCACACACGCGCAGAGGTCAAAGGACAACCTTGGGTGTAGCTCAGAGGACAACTTCAGGTGCAGGTCCTTATTGTTCATTTTGTTGGAGACCAGGCAGGTCTTATTTGCCTCTGAGTACCCCTAGACTATCTGGTCTGTGTACCCCAGTACTAGCTGGCCCTAATCCTCAGTCTATCTGGTCTTCATCTTCAGGCCTCCCAGAGTCTCCTGCCTTCACCCTTCCAGTATTTCACTCTAAGAGTGCTGGGATTAAAGACTCCCGCTCCCACATGCGGCCATAGCTGAGTTCTGGGCCTCCACCATCTCAGGTCCTGTCACTCACACAACAAGTGTTTACCCAGAAGTCACCTCCCCAGGGTGAACTACTTTCTCTCTTCCCTCAAGTTGAGGGGTACTAAAGTTAACTCCAAGTGAGAGGTTCTATTAAATTAATTAATTAATTAAAAAAAAAGCAAGTCATCCAGCACGCCTGACATAGAAGGGAGATTTTCGGGCATGGTCTGGAGGAATGCAGGGTTGCATGAGCAGAACAGCAATGGAAGGAAAGCTACGACTTGCTATCAGTCAGATGGAAGCCTCGGAGGCCCAAAAACAAAATGTCACACGTTTTCAGAAAAAAAAATCACACAGCATGAGCTTGTAATGTCTATTTTATTTTGCACAAGCTTGCATATATACTGCACATACATTCAGTTCAGGAGAGGATGGAAGGCACACAAGGCAGTTGACTACTGCACCCTTAGTGGTACAAAGCAAACGGTCCAAGTTCGGAGAATATAGAAAAGCTTCAAACACACAACGGAAACCCTCCCCGCCCCTCCCAATGACAACATTGTCCTTTATTTTTTCCTTGTTTTAAAATTTAGTAGCTGCCAAACTAAATTGATTTACTTTTTACTTTAAAATCAATTGTCTACGGCACCTTTTGTTTTCTTTTGAAGATGGACAGGGAGTCTCACTGTTTTACCTATCAATTAATATTACAGTACATCCTTGGTAATACAAAATTGTACACCTTCATCAAATAAATTAGGATAAATTAAACCAATAAATTATGCAGTCTTCAGAACAATAGACAATAACAAAATGCACAATTGAAATTGCCTCTAGCTAAAAAAAAATCAAAAATGACTTTATCAGTTCAGTTATTGTACTATATTCAAATCAAAGGGTCTTTATTACAAAAAAGAGCTTCATAATGCTATTTACAACATATTGCTAAATCATATAAAGGCAGTGTTTGTCACGGTTTATACTATATACATATGAGAAATGGCTGGGACAATGTTGGGGGAAGCTGTGACCTTTGACCCTTCTTGGGAGCTGAGACCAACTCCAAATACATCATTTTTCCTAAGTCTAAATTTGAAGTTGCAATATACAATTTTAAAATGCTTTATTCTCTCATACGCAGAGATATCTGTTGTTAAAAAAATATCTAGTAAATCCATTTTCACAAAGGCAGGACTGCCATTTGCCTGCCTGTTCGCGTGTGTGCACATCACGGGGGTGTCTGATTTGAGAGCGAGCTCAGTCGAGAAGACTCAAAGTCCACGAGCTTCCACAGTCTTAGAAGGGTCCTTCAAAAGGATGCAGAGATTAAACACCAGTGTGAACCCCAGCTCTGAGGATGAACATTTTAGTTTTACTTTTTAGATGGTTTGAAACCAGCTGATCTACAGAGGCAAAGGTGTGCTTCCTCGCACGTGACACGGAAGTGCGATGCGGTGGCACACGTACCATCCACTGTGTTTCCCAAGGGGAGCCTTTGAAAACAGGGGTGTAATCTAAAGACACAGAGTTTACACCAGGAGGAAACGGCTGTGCTGTTCCTGTCATACCAGGAATACTCTTTAATATACACAGCAACCATGTTCACGTCCTTACACACATTGCTGCTCTGGGGAACATTGGCAAACCGCTGTTTGATTGATTTACGGTCACTTTGGGGGAGCAGTCTATGTTTAGTTCCCTCCCGAAACTCTGCAAGTAGTCGATATTAACCTGCGTGTGTGTGGATGTGGGGGACAACTTACTAAATGTCTTCATGTACACAGAAAAGAAATGTCACAGATTTACAGAGACGCTATTACCCTTGCCCTTGACGTCTGGTGGAGACTATTATATTTTGCAAGTAGAGAACAGGATTTTTGAGAATGCTTTCAACTGCCTGTAGTTACTGTAGTGTCCCTAATAAATTCAACAGATGCTGTGATACTGTAGATATTTATTAAAATCTCATGTCTTACGTAACAACGGCCATGAGGTTAAATATTTACATTTCCTTATAAAAGTTCCCCTTTGCTTTAGTGTTTCTGTTTTGACATTTTAATTTTTTTAATGATATTCACCCATATTCCTAGCACAGTAACAAGGATTTCTTCAAACATAAAACACTTCAATTAAGTAATACTCAGAGGCACAAAGCAAACTTCAGGAATATGGGGGAGAACAGTTACTGAAGTAATTACTACATCCTAACATCTTCCACATATTTTTACCATTTAATGCAAAACATCTCCATTGAACAGCCAGAGACAGTAAGAAGTCAATGTTGTGTTGTTGCAAATAGAACATTCTTCTCACAAAACATAACAAACGCCTAAAATAAGCTCTTAAGTCTAGATAAGGAAAGGTAAGCTTTCCACCTCACACGCATACATATGTATATTTTTTTACATGTGTGTGCCTGTGTGTTCGCACCCACACCTCCGCACACACATTGCACATGGTATGAAATATTGCTTCTATAGTGCTTCTCATTAGGCTAAGAAAACACAAGAGCTACACCACAGTTACAAAAAAAAAAAAAACCAAAAAAAAAAACTGGCTTCTACAAGAATCTCCAAAACTTGAATGCTGCTCAAACAATTGAGGAAAAAAATAATTTGCGGTGTATCAAACTGTTCTAAAAATTTCTCTTCTTCAAAAACATTATTCTCCCGCTTCGTTTTAAAAAGACGCAAAATGCATAGCTATCAACATTATGTCAAACAGCCAGGAAAAAAAATGTAGTGTTTATTGCAGCTGTAGTATTGGAAATAAAGTAAAAAGAGATGAAACAGAAAGCCACAGAAGGCACGAGAACAGTTGTACTGGTGGGGAAAGAACGGTATTTTGAAGGATTCTTAAAAATCCCCGCGCTGGTGCATTTTAGATCTAGGCACAGACTTATCACCTTGAGTGTACGCGCAAAAATAATATAGGGTTAGCATAAAAGAAGTGAAGATATGGAATCGCAACAGACTTTAGAGTTGGTCCCCACTCTCCCACTGTGAAAAGTCAGCTTTCTCCTGTGCACAAAAAAGAAAAGGTTTCACTTGGGGAGAGCTGAGTCAAGATTTTAAAGGTAGTAGGTTTTTGTTACTGTTATTGTTTTATTTAAAGACTAACGGCTTGATAGGAGCATTGCGAGACAGGCTTGTGTGATTTCACCATTGTACTGGGAGGACACATGGCCCAATGGCTGTATTGGGAGCAACCACCTCAGTGCAAAGTCATGGAGACCTGCTTCCAACATAGGGCTGAGTCTGTCCTCAGACTGCCAGTGTGAAGTCACCTCCCGCCGTAGTGAACACTGAGGGGAGATTATAGGTACAGAAGGGGCACTGACAGTCAGCAGATTACATACACATTAGTTTTTGCTAAATTTGCCTATTTCAATTAGAAAGGCAGAAGAAAACAATATTTTAAAAATCCAAGTAAGTCTAGAATCAATATTCATTTGCCCCAGATTGTGAAGATACCTAGAAATCTGTCTACACAGCTGACTACACTGCAGCTTTGCCTTTGACCTTGCAAAGGGTGAGAGGGTGGGGATCTGACTGGCACGTGACTTGGAACAGCCAGGCCCCTGCTGGGCCCTTCCAAGACCCTTCCAGACAAAGCATGTGAAAGACTTTCATAATTTTTACTGACTGGGTTCCTGATTTTGTCGTTTGACTTTTTAACATTTATTTCAGTGGTATGGTTAGTTACCTGGGCTTCTTGTTTCTAAAGACACCCAGAAAAATAAGAAATACACTCTTAATAATTTTATATGCATCTCTGGGTGCTTGAGCATAGGAGATGCTATTGTAGTGAATGAATAGTGTTGACCATAATTGTTCATGCTCTGTCCTCACTGCTAGGGCCTTCTGGCCTCCTGGAAGATGCTGGGCCTCGCAGAGCTCCACTGTTTAGCTTAAAGTCAGCAGGTTTTCAGGCTTTGTGCTGACAATAATTGTGTTCGTACATTCCTGTCCATCAGCAGAATTTATAAATGATGTTGAATTACAGTGATCCAGCCAGCTAGACAGGCACAAGGGCTGACCTGCATCCTCCAAAGTCAAGTGCTGATTTTTACTTTAAAACTAAATAATGAAAAATGGCATTTCTATTCTTTATGTTTTAAATGCCAGATCTGTTACTGTGTTGTTTTTAGAGTGTGTCTATCAAATTATCTAAGGGGAAGAAGGGGCCTGGACCACACTATTAGAGTGGACAGTGCTGTTCACTGCATCTGTACACAAAAATCCAGCCAAGAAAGCAAGTGTGAATGGTACCCAGCATTTTAAATGCAAGCATAGGACATGGTACGTCATCAAAAAACTGGGGGCGGGGGAGCCATTTGAGAATGGGGCAAATAGCAGCTAGCTTCCTCAGTATGCTGAAACTGTGTCTTCTTGGGTAACCCCAAACTAACCGATTGTATTCTTCTCACACTTTGGTCAATATTAGCTTCTGAAATAGAAAAAAGACATTATCTGTTGCTTGAAGATATTATACCCAAAGTGAAGAGAGAGACTGCCATCCTGGCGTACTCATGTGAACGAGCCATTCCTGGGTGGTGTCCTCACAGAATGTGAAGTCAGGTCCACCAGCAACTGTCAACACGCTCCAAGAGTAGGCAAGGATTTTATGGTCAGTGGCCTTTCTGAATTCCTTACTGTAGAAAGGTATCCAGAAGTTAGTGTTTTAGGAGAGAAACAAAAAGGGTTAAACAGCAACAGCGATGCTAAGCATATGAAGTTGAGCAAAGAATACATTTGAAAGGTACATGCCTTTTACTACATGAAGCAAAATAAATAGGAAACGAAGACAAAGTACGGGGTCTTCTCTAAGTCAAAACCTCTGAGCACACGTCCCACCAAGAGCCTGTTACAAACTTTACAGGGACAGCTGGTCCACCCACACAGATTTCCAGCCTCGTCTCGAGAGACGTGGTTTTGTAAAAACTTAGCCTGGGGTGTACGCCATTTCTCTTAGAAAAGGCTCGGTGATGATGACCATTCTAAACATCTGTCCTTTGAGGGTACTTTTGAGTGTGAGCTGCCCAGCTGCCACTGGCATCTGTGAAAACGTGTAAGAAAAAGTTACTTATGAGGCTCAACTTAAACAGGGTATTCCAGTGTGTGAAGCGCTCTCCTTGAGTTCTCTCAAGACTTCTTAACCCTAGAAACAAGAGACACGGCACAGGGTGGGGTGGGGTGGGGGCGGTCTGGGTGTGTGCTGTGTCCTAGTCAGGGTCCACTCTGCTGGTGGCCATTTGCAATAGGCTTCCAGGTGAGCAGAGTGTCCTTGGCTCTTGTAGACTTTACACAGGCTGACATTCCCTTTTCCTGAAAATCAACCCTACCTCAAGTCTCCAAATATTAAGGGCCTTGGGCAAAAGTAACTAAAGGCAAAGAAGGGAGGTACCCATCCCCCTGTAATGGGGAAAATTAAAACAACCCAGAGGGGATGAGCAGGAACCACCAGCTGATATCACGACACACCCATGCCTCCTCCACACGTAGATAGGAAATAAAAATCTAGACACACAGAAGTTAGACATCCAAGGGGGACTTCTTCTATTCATACATTCAAAAGAGTTGTTGCAATCTCTACTCGTGAAGGAGTTCTTGGAGGCAGTTCGGGGATTTGAAAATCTCAGGAACTTCACTATCCAGCTTGCAGATGACCTTGTATATGGCCTTCTTCCAGGAAGGGTCAACATCTTTGCCTGCGATGATGGCATTGAAAAACTCCCGTAATGTGATCTGCGCAACTTCCAGGAATCTCTCTGGAACCTGCTGATACAGGGAGAGCACGGTATTAATAAAGTTTTCAGTTTCAAGTCTGCAGTTCTTCAAAGGAAACTGAGCTAACTCCATGCCCTCAGAGAGGGGCTTTAGACAGCACCTGCATGCTCTAAAAATGGCCAGCCTCTATTCTCCTGTGTAGGGTTGTTATATATAGCAGCATTGTGATAGACGGCGGCTGCTCCATGGATCTCGGGAGAGAGCCTTGTGCTGAGGATATACACAGGCCCACCAGCACCAGGGTTTCACTGTGAACACCACTGCAGAGAGAGGAGGCCCACAGCCTCATGTAGGTGGGCAGATCATTCTAGAACAAACTTGCCAAGTCCTTTTTCAGAATTTTACTCCTTTCTCCTTTTGACTTCCATTATGAAAGAAAAAAATGTGTTCTCAGAATCGAATAATAAATGCTGGGCATCTATGTAAATTAAACCCCTATTGTCAATGAAGAAACTCTGAAGTCAGTACCATAAATGGTAAGATCACAACACAAAGTCCTGGGACGTGAAATTTGAGCTGAACTCCAAATTCCTATGTTTTGCTTGGACATTAGACTTGTTCCTTAGACAGTGGGTTGTGAAACTGATCACTGCTGTACAAACTAATACTTACTGGGTGTTAGCTGTGAAAGGCACCATGTTACATCTCATACTGAACGCCATTCCCTTCTTCCAACCTCATTGTAAGACGCTATCTCAATTATACCACAAGAAAACTAAGGCAGGGAGAGACCCAAAGGAGTCGCTCAAGGTCTTCCCAAGATTATCATTCCCCAAATCTTTTTGGAATTTCTCTTTGCCAAGCCTCTGCATCCAAAGCAGTGAGTATATGTGAGCTATCTGTCTGTATCTCTTACTTGCTGATTGGACAGTCTGAGCTCTTGACTGTGAAAAGGAACACTTAGTATTCTTCACCAGTAACTCACAGAAGAACATGATGGATTCACAGAATAATTACATGAAGTCATAATTTTTCCAGTACACGTTAGTGAGCGCTCAAAGATATACCACGAAAAACCTCCACCACAGTTCAGAAATGCCAGTTACTGAAACAACAGGGAGATCCTTGACCTATGAGCACGTCCAACACCTTCCTCTTGGACTTTTCTCAACAAATGTAATGGGCATGTACATGGGTCATACATGTATTAACACATATATATGGATGGCAGATGACACAGAAAACTAAAATATCACTGGATGTCCCTGGATTTCAAATTTCAAATTGAACAAAGTAGCTCATTGCTTCCAATAGCAAGTCAATTGTTCTTTAGGGAAATCTAGTAATTTCCCAGGGGAAAAAAAAGTGAACCGCTCCCAACATGGAGTCTAGAAAAGGAAAGCACCAATTATTGTGTCCCACATCTTTAATCCCACCTAGCACTTGGATCTCTGTGAGTCCCAGGCCAGTCAGAGCTACACTGAGACCCCGTCTCAGAAACAAAGAGGAAGGTACTGAGCAATCTCTCCCAAAGGCGTTTCCCCTGGTCTGTCAGGACAGAGCTTAGAGCTGACTGGAAGAACACAGAGGGCCTCCTGCTCCCTGGCTGGGCAAACAACAGTCTGCTAAGAACCCACCCAGCTCCCCCCAGATTCCCACAGAAGCACCTGCACACACGCGGATTTCCTGAAGGGAGCATCGCGTTCCCACCCAGTGACAAGTCATAGCAAATGGGCCTTACTGAGAGCGGACACATGGCTGGGGCACAGGTCTACAGCCAAATGCTACAAGAGCAGAGATCACTGGTGCCGAGCAGTGTGCTCTCAGTGGCTGCTGGCAACTGAACCTCTATGGAAAACGGTTTCTCAGACAACAAACCCAGAACTTCAGGAGAGAGAAGCCGAGAGACACAGGTGTGAGCTCTAGAGAAAGGGGGTAAGCCAGCAGTCTCATCCACTCCAAGGATTCCCATCCCCCACCCCCAGCGCACACACAGTCAGGAGCAAGGACATGGGCCTTGTGGAAACTGTCCAGAGCAGAGCTGTCTGGGTCCCTCGATGATAGCACAAGCCCTGGAGGAGGAAGGGTGGTTTAAGGACTTTGGGAGACAGCGGGACTTCAGAGATGGAGCCAAGTCTGTACTCACTTTCTCAGTGACCATGAGCCTTAGCTTAGATCAGTGGTTCTCATCCTTCCTAATGCTGCGACCCTCTAGTACAGTTTCTCATGTTGGGGTGACCCCCAACCACAAAATTATTTTCATTGCTACTTCGTAACAGTAATTTTACTACTGTTATGAATCATAATGTAAATACCTCTCCTTTCCCGTGTTCTTTTTGGGATCACGACCCGTAGGTTGAGACCTGCTGGATTAGTGGTCTGTTTTAAACATCCATTTCTTGAGCTTATCCCACCAGCTGCCCTGTGACAGCTTTTGGATTGTGTCTGACTTTTCACTTCCTGGTAACTGGTTCTAGTGTCCTCATCCCAAGGTGTCTTTGGCTGAGGAGCACAGGTCTCTCTTCCTTCACCTACAGGTTCAGTGGCAGGCCTTTTTATAACTATTCCCCGAACATTGTTGTCATTAACAAGACCACCTCCCCTCTCTGCTTTCTCCCATAATGCTCTGTAGTCTCATGACACCCCCCCCCCCCCCCCCACACACACCCAGTGCTTTGAGGAAAGGAAGCTCAGGGCTGAGTACAGTTCGGTGACACAGTATTTACTGGCCTATGCGAGGTCCTGGGTTTGATCATCAGTATCACTATCAAGACCGAAAAAGAAGGCACATCATGAAAAATTTCAGCAATATGGGTCTCGGAAACTATCGTTTTGTAGGTGAAAAAAACCTAGGAGATTCTCTGAGATAGAGTAATCATGGATAAAGATGCTTGTCAATTGCACGAGCCAAGGCATCTTTCCACTAGAACATGCTTGATGCTAAGACCTCATCTTTTGAGGCAGGGTCTCATGTAGCTCTGGATGGCCATGAACACAGCAAAGAGTCCAAGAAGATGGTCTTGACCTTCAGATCCTCCTACCTCCTCCTTCCTGGGTGCTGCGATGACAGACCTGTACCCAGAGCCTGGCTTTAATGATTTTATCAAGGCCGGTGGACTCACTGTAGGCAACAGATTCCTGACGAGCTATGTGTCTACAACTTCAGAAAACCATCCCCAGGGAGCCTGTGACCTTAATGGAAACAGAAGTGGGCACAGAGAGTGTGTTGTCGGCTGGTTATTGGGAATGGGTACCTTCCCGTCACAAATGAAGCAGCTTGCTAATTTACTACCTGCTCTGGGCAGTGTGCATGCAGGACTGCGCTGGGTGAAAGATTTCTTGGAGCTCTCTGGTATTGGAGCAGCTCTCTTTTGCTGGTGGCTCCAGAGTAGCGTGGGTTAGCAACTGCTATTCTCAGAGAGTGCCGGGGGATTCCACCCACAGGTAGAAACCTCACCCACGGGAAACAGGCTCTCTGATCGAAACCTTTCTCCACCTTTATTTGTGGAATAAACTAACATCTTCCTGATGTTTGGGGGGACATTGGGGTTCAGAATTAGGAACGTGATATTGCCCATATTTTGTGCCCCTCCTCACAATTAATGGCTTTCCAATCACTAATAAACATCTGCAGAGAAGCCCTTAGTGACAAGTAATCCCTTATCTAGGTTTCTTTTAATAGAACCCAACAATCTCTACAATGAACCCTCCAGTCTCTCTCCTCAGCATCAGGTGCAACAGTCAATCAAGTCACTGGAATGCAAGACAATGCAGGCTGCTGGGGGCGGGGGAGGGGGAGGCCAGGCCTTTGGACATGCCACAGGGGAAAAACAAAAGGCTTCCAAAGTCTTTGGCAGAGCGAGGAGGCTATTGTGGGAGCTGCTTGGCCAGGAGTTCTTCAGGAGGGGAGAATGGAAACTTTGCTTTGATAAAAAGGCATCCTGGCCGAGGAGCCTCACCCCCAAACGGTCTTGCCTTGACATTTAGAGAATACACTGGTAATGAGGTACTTGAATACAGTGGTCACTCTGAAGGGAGCTGGTCAACAAGCATCTATCAATTCCATCCCAATGATTTGCTCTTGCTTATTGATCAGAGTGAGCCAGTGACTCTTGGGTTTCAGGAGGATGGGAGAAGGAGTTCACATCTGCTGGGTCCACAGCTGGGCAGCACACACATGCAGTGGGATGGGTGATTGGATGTTTCCCTGCTACTGCTGCTTCTCCCTCTCTCCCTCTCTCTCCCTCCCTCTCTCTCTCTCTCTCTCTCTCTCTCTCTCTCTCTCTCTCTCTCTCTCTCATCGGACTGAGTGGCAAAGACATCCCCCTCCCGTCTTCCTCCTCCTCTTCCCAGTTGCTTTACCTTCAAGGATGATTTGTTTTATTAAACTGGCTGTCCCTAGTCTCTGCAGTCCATAATGAAAGCCTGACATAGCAGGCTGCCTGCCTTCTGTGTCCTGCAGACACTCATCATAAGTGTCAGGACATACCAAGGTTAGCGGTCACTGGAAGTGTGCTCGCTGGCCCAAACCTTGCCAAACGCTCTTGGCAGCTGAATGAATGTCACAGAGAATAGAAGGGGAATGACAAAGGTTGAAAAGAAGACAGCCTCCCCTATTTTCTGGAGACAGAGAAGCTGAATTTTCACACCTCTGAAGCATCCACCAGTTCATTCATCGGCCTCTTGTGGGGAACCATAACCCTGCCCTTTGCTCAGGTCCCCGTGGACACTTCTCCACCCTTGATCCCCTTCAAAAACTGGCCCACTGGCCTCACCCCACCGGTGGGATCATCTTTACTGAAATGGCTAGAAAACAAGCCAGGCATTGCCTCTCTCCCGAGCCCCTCCCAAGAACCACAGCCTAGTGGCCCGTTCAGCCCATCAGTAGATTCTGATCTTAGGAAAGCAGACCTTTTGGACACTATCGTCTAAGCTATTCTTTCCCCCTCAAACTTCAACATAAAAACGGAAGACGTGTGTGAGGACGGCAGGAGTGGCTGAGGGGTGGGAAAAGGGCCCCCTGTTGTGTATTTTGGTGAATTAGTTTGTGT